GTGTGTGTGTGTGTGTGTGTGTGTGTGTGTGTGTCACCCTCTCCCCTGTTCAATATATAGCTCTTTGACATTTCCCCCAACAAGCTTCCAAACCACCGTACATCCTGTCCAGACATTTCAACGTCTCCTTCACATCTGTCATTATAACATCAATATGTAGAGAACGTCACCGGAAAACCAGGCCATGCTTTTCAAAATGATCATCATTTCTCCACAGGGTGCTTTCTTTTTGTCTTTTGTCTCGTACACATCAAAATAGAGCAGCAGGATTTAACAAAATGTTGGACAGGGTCGACTCAAGTACACCTTCATTGATTATTGTTTCTATAACGCCTTGTCTTCAAATAGGGAGATTGCTGCTAAAATTAGTAATGGTAGGATAATGATATGGACGTGAGCCAAGACCATAGACTTATATCATTATACTCTAGACCGTCCACCCTGACCAGTTTTCCAGTTCTCCAAGGGACGCGCCATTAGAGTTAATTAAATGAAAGGCAAAAGGAGAAGTTCAGTGCACAGTTCATTGTAGCGATAACACTGGTGTTAAAATGGTGCGGAATAACAACAGGTGTTGTAAAAGATGGATTACTTTCTAAAAAATCCCAAACGAAATACGCTTGTCCTGAAATTCTGACGTAATATCTCGCTCGGCCTGCGCCATGCGCACATTTCGCATTTTGCATAGTGGGTGGTTGGCGGGTGCTCTGGTGTGGTTTGCTCCTTCTTTCCTATCAAACATCTGTCGTCCTGATCTCCCCCTTTCTTTTTTGTGTATATTACTCTCTTGTAACGCGTAATCTATTCTTCGGCACTTATATGACCTTAATGTGTCGCAAGTTCCGTAAGACTCTTACTAAAAAAAATGTTAAAACACTTCGCAGCGAAGCTTTTATAGCGAGCGAAGAAGGGAGGCCGTCACCGTCATGACATGATATGACAGAGCTCGTTCTAGAATCGAATATAAATCTTTGGCGAAAGACAGATCTGTTGTCCAAGATGTTGGACGGATGAAAAACGAGGTTGAGGCTTTGTTTGGAAATCAATACGTCTTGTTATTGCTACAAGGCCAAGCTGTTGTCGGTGACAAGAGGGCGGGAGAAGATTAGCAGTGTCTTGTCTTTTTTTGTTTTGGATTTCATATTATTATTGGGAAGGTGTTTTGCTCACTTGATTTGTATTTTTATTTTATTTTTGGTTTGTTTTTAAAAGAGGTTTGTTGGGGGGAGGGGGGGCATAGACTTGAGGTCAACGTCCTTCTAGTTAGGCCATTCCATGAAAAGTGACACACGTAATGCAGGGGAGATAACCTGCCTGCTGAAAAAAATCTAACCTATGATTGAGCCATTCTTCATCTTTATTATATATTTTTATTCGTCATCATCATCATTATCATCATCATCATCATCAT